GACACTCACAGACACACACACAAGCATTCACACAGCGACGCACAGAGACACACGCACAGACATACACACATAGACATACACACGCACACACACAGGCACACGCACAGACACACACAGACACACACACAAACACACGCACAGGCGCACGCAGGCACACGCAGACACACGCAGGCACACACAGGCACACGCGCACAGACGCACGCCCAGACACACGCCCAGACACACGCAGACACACGCCGAGGGGTGCACAGACACACAGAGACACACAGAGACACACAGGGCCACGCAGATACGAACGCAGACGCACACACAGACACACGCGCAGACGCACACAGACACACGCAGACACGCAGACGCAGACACATACAGACACACATAGACACAGACAGACACAGACAGACACACGCATACACACCCACAGGCACACACGCAGGCACGCACACAGACACACACAGACGCACACAGACGCCCACGCAGACACACACACACAGGCACACACAGACATACACACACAGAGACACACACAGAAACACGCGCACACACATCGGCACACGCACAGACACGCGCGCAGACACGCACGCACGGACACGCACACAGACACAGACGCACACGCGCGCACGCGCAACCGCGCGCACGCGCGCGCGCACGCGCGCGCGCGCACACGCGCGCGCAACCACTCACGCACACAGCCAGGCAGCCAGACAGACACACAGACAGACGCGCAGACAGGCGCACAGACACGCACACAGACACACGCGCGGACACACGCACAGACGCACATACAGATACACAGCCAGACACACAGACAGACAGACACACACAAACACAGACAGACGCACAGACACGCAGACAGGCAGACAGACACACAGACAGACACACAGACCGACACACAGAGAGACACACAGACAGACGCGCAGCCAGACAGACAGGCAGGCACACAGACACACAGACACACAGACACCCAGACAGTGATACACACAGACACACCACACCGACACACAGACAGACTGACAGACACAGACAGACGCACAGACACAAAGACACAGAGACACAGAGACACACAGGCAGGCAGACACACAGACACACCACGCCGACGCACAGACACACGGCAGAGACGCACGCAGAGACACGCGCACAGAGACCCACACACAGAGACGCACGCTGAGACGCACACAGAGACACACGCACAGAGACACTCAGAGACACACACACACACACACACCGACACACGTATAGACACAGAGCCACACAGCGACGCACAGGGGCACACAGAGGCACGCCGAGACACACATATACACACACAGAGACACACACAGAGACACACACAGAGACGCACGCAGAGACACACGCAGAGACACACGCAGAGACGCGCACAGAGACACACACAGAGACGCACGCAGACGCACACAGAGGCACACATAGACGCACGCAGACACACACAGAGACGCACGCAGGGACACGCACAGCGACACGCACAGAGACACACACAGGCACACACACAGGCAAACAGAGCCACGCAACGACGCGCAGAGGCAGAGACACACAGAAACACACATAGACACAAAGAAACGCACACAGAGACACACGCAGAAGCACACAAAAACGCACGCATAGACACACGCAAAGTCACGCACGGAGGCGCACGCACAGACACGCACAGAGACACACGCAGAGACACGCGCAGGCACGCACGGGCACGCGCACAGGCGCGCACAGGGACACGCACAGCGACGCGCACATACACACAGACACACACAGACACACACAGACACACACAACGACACACACAGATGCACACATGCGCACACACGGGCGCACGCGCACGCGCAGACACGCACACACACGCACACACGCACACGCACGCACACGCACGCACGCGCACGCACACGCACGCACGCGCACGCACGCGCACGCACACGCAAGCACACGCACGCACACGCACGCACACGCACACACGCACACACGCACCACGCGCACGCACACACGCACGCACACACGCACACACGCACACACGCACGCGCGCACACGCGCACGCACGCACGCACGCACACACACACACACGCGCGCGCACACGCACGCACGCGCGCACACGCACGCGCGCACGAACACGCACACGCACTCGCAAAGCGCGCGCACACGCACACGCACGCGCACGCGCACACGAACACGCGCACGCACACGCACCCGCACGCGCACACGCAAACGCACACACACAACACACAACACACAACACACAACACAACACACAACACAACACCTATACGACCACCCTTGGGGGGATAAGGAGGTTCGGGGGGGGGGGGGGGGGGGGGGGGGGGCAGCGTCTCACTCGATCGGTCTCGCTATCGACCTTACTATCGATCTCACGATCGGTCTCGCTCGATCGGCCTGAACCGATCGATCTCGCAATCGATATCACATCTTATCGATCTCACAATCGATATGGCGATCGATCTCACAACCGATCCCACTATCGATCTCACAATCTATCTCGCATTCGGTCTCACTATCGATATCACTATCGATGTCACAAACAACGTCAGCATCATCATCAAAATCATCGTCACCAGCGTCGTCATCAGAAACATCACCATCGTCGGGACACCATCACCATCACCACCTCGTCACCATCATCAGCATCACCATCATCAGAGTCATCGGGGCACCAGCATCGTCATCAGCATCGCCATCGCCAACATCATCATCACCAGGAAATCAGCATCATCATCATCGGACCACCACCATCACCGCCATCATCATCACTATCTCATCATCATCGTGGACATCATCGCCAAAATCATCATTTGGGCACCATCACCAGCAACAACAACATCAGGATCATCACCATCATCACCGGGACAACCCCATCGTCGTTACCCTCAGCACCACCATCGTCATCACCACCGGGACACCATCATCATCATCATCAACATCAGCATCACCATCATCGGGCCACTATCATCAGGATCATCATCACCTCATCAACATCCTCTTCTTCAACATAACCACCATCGAACACCATCACGGTCGTCATCATCATCAACACCACCATCATCATCGGGTCACCATCATCATCACCATCATCATCATCAGCAGCATCATCACCAACCTCATCACCATCATCACTAGGGCATCGTCATCATCATCTGCGCCATCATCATCATCTCATCATCATCAGCATCGTCAGGCCCATCATCATCAACATCATCATCATCGGGACACCATCATCACCAACAACAACAGCATCATCACCATCGGGGCACCACCATCATCAACACCATGACCGTCATCATGATCACCATAATCACAATCATCGGGACACCATCATCGTTACCATCATCCTCACCATCACCATCATCATAGGGACACCATCATCATCGGAACACCGCCATCATGATCATCTCACCATCATCATGAATAACACCATCAACATCATCATGCACGGGACACCATCACCATCAACAACATCAACATCATCATCATCAGCAACATCATCATTACCGGGACACCATCATCGTCGCCATCATTACCATCACCAGCATCATCGTCATCGGGACACAATGATCATCATGAATTTCAGCATCACCATCACCATCGCGTCACCACCATCAATATCAACATCATCACCATCCTCATCAACACCATCACCATCGGGGCACCATCATCGTCATCATCACCATCATTAACATCATCATCGGGACACCATCATTATCACCATCATCCTCAACAACGCCATCACCAACCTCATCATCATCATCATCGGGACACCATCATCATCTTCACCATCACCGTCATCTCACCATCACCATCGTCAACACCATCGGGATTATCAACATCATCGTCATCATCACCGGGACACCATCATTACCATCATCAACAACATCAACATCGTCGACATCATTATCACCGGGGCACCCTCATCACCATGGTCATCATTATCCTCATCATCATCATCAACATCGCCATTGCCACCATCACCCTCATCATCGGGGCACCGACGGGGCACCGGGCGGGGCACTGCGGGGCACCGGTCGCCGGAACGGAGACTTGTGGTCCGGCCGCGCCTCAGCAAAAGGCGGGGCATGTCCCGCCCGCCCGCGCAACTTCGCCTCGCCCGCGCGCGCGGCGCGCGCGAACGTGAAACCGAAACCGATTTCCGGTAAGGGGGCTCTCCGCTCCACTTCGATCTCGCCCCGTCACCTCCCATATATATATACATATTGCCCCACAACACTTCGGCGCGGTGCGCGGCCGGGCGGAAGGCCGGCAGGCTGTGCGAATGAAACGAGGGCGGAGCAGAGGGCCCCAGCGAGCCCAAAGACGAGCCCCACGCACCAGCGAGCCCGCGCCAAGGGGGCCGCGAGCTCACTTTTTCACAACTCGCAAACGAGGCAGCGACAGCCTGCCAGCGCGTTCTTTGAACGCGGTAACCGCGGTCCCGAGACCCTCGAGAGCAATGTCTGGCCGGCGGAAAGTATCGACTTGCACGCTCGAGCAGCGCAGTGTCAGTCGGCCAGCTCCCAAAGTCGTTTGTAGAGATGGGCAGGGAGGGCCAAGAGCGCCACTCACAGAGACTTGTTGAGATCAAAGGGCGCCCTTCCTCTCCAAGCTGGGCAGAAAATGCGCGCGCGAAATTGCTCCGCAACCCATCGGCGCAGTGCGCGGAAGGGCGGAAGGCGGGCAGGCTGAGCGAATGAAACGAGGGCGGAGCAGAGGGCCCCAGCGAGCCCAAAGAGGAGCCCCACGCCCCAGAGAGCCCACGCCACGGGGGCCTTGGGCTCACTTTTTTGACAACTCGCAAACGAAGCAGCGACAGCCTGCCAGCGCGTTCTCTGAACGCGGTAACCGTGGTCTCGAGACCCTCGAAAGCAAAGTCTGGTCGGCGGAAAGTCTCGACATGCGCGCTCGAGCAGCGCAGTGTCAGTCGGCCAGCTCCCATATCCCACGCGCATGGTTCGGCGAGTGGGCGAAGCAGGGGCCGGGCAGGGAGGGCGCGAACCTCAGAAGCGGAGAAGCTTCCTGCACACAGAAGTGGAGACTGATTTGTACTTCTGCAGGTAAGCGGGAGTCAGCTTGCCAATCTGTCGCATGAGACGGCCTTGCTTCATATAACGAAGGGCGCTTTTCCTGGCCTCCCAGTGCCCGCGCGACTGGATCCGGTCCTCAGGGCGAAGGCCGAGCGCAGCATCAGTGGATGGTCCGCCATGGCGCACCATGTGCGGTATGAGGCGGAGGGCGCGAAGACTGCAGGCCTCGAAGGCAGCCTTGCAGCGGCGCTCATACTCCGCCAAGGTCAGGCCGGACAATGGCACGGAGCTGCCTCGCTTCGCTGCCTTGAGCTTGGCGAGGAGGCCGGCCGCCTGGTCGCGGCCGGCCTTCTTGGAGGCATCATCCCCGAAGACCGCAGTGTCGTCCTGCTCCCCGGCCTTGGTTGTGGGCCGCCGCGAGGCCCCGCCATCGTCGCCCTCCGAGGACAGTGCTATCGCGATGGTGGCAAGGGGGTAGCCGGCGCCGCGCCGCGCAGACACGAAGGGCCACCATGATATCGATCGCGGTGATCGGGCGCACCTCGCCCGGTCGCAAGTACCCGTGAAACTGGGTCATCAGGGCCTGCGCGGCACTGAGGTCGGCCTTGTCGCCGGTGTCGCAGAGCCAGTCGCAAGCAAGAAACAGAGCTTGCTGTGGCATGGGGTCTCGCGAAACGCCCCCCACGCGTTGCTGCCAGCCGCGCAGCGCGGCGCGGGCGAGCTGCAGCGCGGTCGGGTCCTTCAGGTTGCTGCACTGCACGTGCGCGGTGCCGCGCACGGCGACCCGGGCGTCGTAGATGCCCCTGCCGTCGAGCCACTGGTGATCCAGGTGGACCTCCAGGCTGGCGTCGACCGCGGCCCCTGCCAGGACGCTGAGACCGTGCTCGCTGGCGAAGCCCATGAGCTTCTCGTAAGCGTCCTGATAGCGAGTCTGGGTCGTTGCCGGCGCCGATTGCGCTCGCAGGTATCCTGCGGGGCGCGGGCCATCGACTGCCTGTCACCAGAGCTTGGCGATGGTAGGCCGCGGTAGACGTCTGCGCTGGCTCCCCAGACCTGGGGGGGGTCCAAGGCCCCCCGCCTGCGCCCCGCTGCTTGGCGCTGGCCGCCCACTCTGGCAGCGAGCCCGGCGGGCGCGAGACGTCGCCGGCCCTGAGTGGCTGCTGGAGGTCGCGATGGCAGGCGCGCGCCAGCTCCACTTCCCAGTGACTGGGCAGCGCGCCGCGGCCATGCTGAGCGGATGCCCCGCGAAGAGCCACTGAGGTAAGGATCAGATCCCAGTGGCGGCAGAGTGACGGAAGATACTTCCCAGCCAATGTGGTCTTCCATACTGCGGTCCCTGGGGCACGTGATGCGATGCTCGATGATGACGCTGAGCACGACGGGATGACGACTTTACTTTGAAGGTGTTCATGGTGATGGCCACCCTCGTAGCGACGTGACATCAGCAACAAGTCGTCGATGTCGGCAACGATAATAGTTGGTTTGACGTAAGTACATCCCTACGCACAGCCATCGCAGCGAACGGTGACACGATGCTGTTGAGGAAGAAACTGTTGTCAAGGGCCCCACTTCCAGATCCGAGAGCAGGCGGGGTTCTCGAACGACCAACGTTATAGCGACAAAAAGGGCAGATGAGATGCTTTTCGGGTAGCGCACAACTGACCGGTTCGTGAATGCTTCCCCAGAGAAGTGCTAGTAGGCGGACTCCATAATGCACACTTTGATGAACGGCGGATTATATCTTAGATATAAGTTGAAAACGTGAATTACTAATCGACTTAGGCGACTTACGAAGTCGAGTTATAAGTCGACTTAGGCCGACTTATCATGACCGACTTAGGTGATCGACTTAGGTCAGCTTATAAGTTGAGTTATAACCTAAAAGCCAAGTCGACAACCGACTTATAAGTCGACTTAAAAGTCGAGTTATAACTCGAAGTTGTCGACTTAGTAAGTCGAACTACTTCGACTTACTAAGTCGAACTATTTCGACTTACTAAGTCGAACTATTTCGACTTACTAAGTCGAATCAGCCCCGAGTTAGTATGTCCAAAGTAATTCCTCGATGTGTGGTTTTCTATATGTTCATCATGGCATTCAGTCATATACTACAGCGTTTCACACATACGCTTACATATTTTCATTTTCGTATACACATAGTTTTGTACATATGCGCATGTGAGGTGTGTTCGCGCATTGCGATGTAGATAACGCGCCCGCACGTACACATGCGCATGTATGCGCATGCACAATCATATGTCGATGTCGATATCGATATCGATGCATACGCGCGCCGCCTGCGATACTCTTCTCAGCAGTAGCGCGGCGCGCGCCCCCCTGCCTCTTAATTGTCTGTTCTACGGGTCGCACGGGCACCCCGCGATTGAAGAGGAGAAGGAGGCGCGCCGCGCGCATGCACATGCGTGCAATTTTTCGTGGTTGTTTCACTTTTTTATAACCTTTCTTTCTTGTCGCGACACAGACAAGAAAGAAAAGCGACGCAGAGCGGAGGCGCTGAAGGCGCGTGCACTTTACGTTCGTGAACTGTTCCACCCTTGCCCCCGCAAAATAACGGATCGTGAAACGATCTTGTTACGCTCGCGAGTGACGTGAGCAGCCATTACAAGAAGGGGCGCTCCTTGCAGCGAGAAGAAAGGGGAGGGGGGGAGAGAGAGAGAGAGAGAGAGAGAGAGAGAGAGAGAGAGAGAGAGAGAGATTATTATGATGATGCTGATAATGAGGATGATGATGATGATGGTGACGATGATGATGATGACGACGGCGATGATGACGGTGATGGTGGCGATGACGACGACGACGACGATGGTAACTCGTACGGTCGCGGATTGTTCTTGCCTTAGAGAGCCTCGCCCCCCTCCCCCCCCTCCTCGCCCCACCGCGGTGCAGGACATCGATGATCGAAGAGGGCATCGATTATCGTTGCGGGGGTGGGGGTAAATAGGGGTGGGGGAAGATCGGTCTGGTCGGTCGGAGCGGCAAGCGGCGCGCGCGCGCGCCGCCCGCCCCTCCGTGCAACAAGTACCGGGCACCGCGGCCCCCCACCCACCGCGACCGCCCTCGTCCTCCCTCTTTCCTCGCCTCCAGCTCCTCTTCCTCGTCGTCGGCATCCTCCTCTTCCTCATTCCCCTTAGCATTTCCTATCCCTCCTTGTGCCAGTCATTATTCCTCCCCCTCCTCTCTTCCCCCTCCTCTCCTGATCAGTATCCGTATCCTCCCCCTTCTCCTCCTCCTCCTCCTCCTCCTCCTCTCCCCCCCCCTTCCTCTTGCCGTCGAAATCGACGCCATCGAACTCGATTGCCATCGAAGTCGGACCCGCAGCCGCGTAGCGCCAGGAGAGTCGCACCTCGATTTCCCAGCGTCCTCGATATCGAGCGCGCGATGGCGTCGTTCGCTGACGGGGTCGATGCCCTGGACGGCCCCATCGAGGAAGCACTGTCGTCAGCAGGTGGGCTTGTCGGAATGGTAGATGTGATCCTCGAGAAGTTAATTGCTATTGGTATGGCTGTGTGGCTGTATCTAAAGCCCCACCAAGTAGGCATCCACCCTTCAAACAGATATGGATTGGGCATCAAGGCTTACGAGGTGCACAGGCCGGGGGCTAAGATCGTGAGGAACAAATTTAGTTTCGCGGCAACGGCTGGTTCAGTTTGCACCGAAGATAAGAATGGCACAATTGCGCAGTATACCCAGGAGTTTCAGAGATCGTCGAATATGTTTGGCAAATCCCCGCCCGAATCGATTATCGCAGGGAGCGTGAGCTCTGGGCATGCAAATCAGTTCCTGGTGGCTTGCTTAGAGAGAGTTGAGGCGGAGGAGAAAACATTGTCCGACATCGACGGTCGCATCTACAAGGGGCAGATCCAGAGCAAAGATAAACACTTGGAAAAAGCACTTGACACTGGGTTGAGGTGGTTGATGGTGAAAAAGGAGGCAGAGGAACGCTGGCCAAAACTTCCAGGTTTGATCCAGTCGGCAAAGCAGGCGACGGGCCAGGTGCAGAGCGAAGAAACGCATTTCGAGCTCTTGCTTCACATCCAGGCCATTGCACCCGAGCAGGGGCGCGACGGGTCCGTGATCGACTGGGCGAGGGTGGAGACCGAGGCGAGCAAATCGGAATCAAAGTACGTTGACGATATCGACGCATGCGCTGACTTCGTGGCGAAATATGGTGGGGGGTCCCAGGGCCAGTTCATCAAGGACCTCGTGCAGTTCGCGTCAAGGTGCGCGCCCGCTGGGCGCCTGGTGGGCGGGTGCGTGTTCGAGACATTGTGCAAGGCAAAGCTCGCGGCGACGGAGATGATGCCCCACCTGGTAATGGCCGTCGTCAAGGCTCACGTGAACGGCCCCCCCGAGTCCGTGCAGTGTCGAATGTGCAGGTTTGTGATCCGCTCAGAGATCGTGTCCCTCTTCGCTAGTACGGAGGCGAAGTCTAGAGCGATGGCAGCAGAGAAGGCCATGCGGCATCTTCACAGCCTTTCCAGGCAGATCGAAATCGATACGATTGAACGCATTCCGATCATAGGTAAGGCCGACCAGTTGATAACAATGCTGTTGTTAGGGAAAAAGGTGGATGAACGATACGCAAACATCGAGTGCGTCGCTCACGAGTTCACCGAACCATTGAAGGCAAAACAAAATGGTACCACCGAGATCGACAATCCGTATACCTGCCAGTCGGCCCAGCACGACAGCGGTGCCGATGGGGACTCCGTCAAGCAGACCCCCTTCAGTGGCATGCTGCAGTGCGACGCCAGCACGGGGGAGCTGGCGAACGCTAACATCTGCATCTTGGAGCAGAGAGGGTTTAAGGTTGATGGCACCATCAAACTGAAGAAGGACGATGAAGGTGCAAGGGCGCGGCCGAGCTACGGGTGGTTTACAAGTTTCAGTGGTCCCCCCCTAACTCCCTCAAACACCTTGGGCCCGTCACCCCTCTACGCCACATAAAAACTCTTACGTGTATTAGCCCCCCCTGTGCATGAGTTGTGCCCTTGCACCCTCGATCTAAGGGAACGCGTGGAAGATAGCTTCGATGTCGGAAGATGGCGTTCGGATTCGGGAGGTGATGCAGAATGGCTCCGTGCACCACGTCGTTATTCGGTGCCCCATTCCAAAGTTCATCGAGAAGTACTGCTTTACTACAACCAAGAAAGAGTTGCTCGCTGGGTGGCCAGATGACGCAGCTTCTAAATCTACCGATCTCGTCGCGATCAACATTAAGCCAGCAATTGCTATGGCCATGGTATCTTTGACGTCGGAATTCGAAGCCGATGGGGGCGATCTGATGGCAGTCAGCAAACCCAACGTGGGCATTTTCTCTAGGAAGAAGTTCCAGGCGAAAAAGTTGATCATCGTGCCGACGGCTCTGACCATCAAGCAGCGCGGCGAGAGCGATCGCCCCTACTTCGATGTGCCCAGCCCTGATGAGAGGATCGCGGGGCCCCTCGCCCTCTCGGACCCTGGCGCTAAAGCGCCGAGCCTTGCTTTCAAGATCAGGCGCGTGGACAGCGCGGAGTCGAAGCCGAATTGCGCCATCACTAAGCACTCGGTGGCCGTATCTGTGGGCAACGCTAAAGTGTGCGATATCAAGATCCCCGTAGTCACCAACGTCATGGCTCTGAACGTTGGAGACGAGCTCACGCTTCCCAAGGTCGCGACCGCTGCCCCGAAGAGGCCCCCTCCGCCGACCATCGAGGTGTCCACCATGAAGAAAGTAGCGCGCAGCAGGTAGACATACATGCACACATCGATTTGCGAAGCAGTGGGGCGATGTAGAGATGAGGCATCGACATCGATCATGGACTGTTGGATTCCCATGGAGTTTGGGAGTTTTTGCCATAGTTACCACGAAAAACATATACATAATCGTCGTCGTCGCCGTCCGCTTCGTCGGCGTCATCGTCGTCGCCGTGCCCGGTTCCAAATCGCGGTCGAGCTCGAAACTTAGAACGTTTATCCAGTGCCGCGTATACACTTAAACCTCTTACAACTTACTTAAGACGCTTAGGCTCCAAACCTTGTGTGTTTGTTCTTTCGGGGAACGCGGTTCACGACCCCACGTCAGTCGAAAGTCGCATGCGCCTATCGCTCGACGTCGCGCATTGCCTGTTTGGCTCCAGATGTAGATGCGTCCCCGCGCGCTTCTAGGAATACGTCGATATCGATATCCGACACATGGTGGATGCTATGGCCTGGTGCGTGGACAAA